TGTCTGCTTAGACCAACGCTTGTCGCTAGCAGGAATCAAGATGTGAGATCCTGAGATCATACCGAGACCGCCCAATTCCTTGGGCGTATAGAACACAGCAGGTGGGAAACGAGACGGCATCTTGGAGTTAAGCCCAATCTTGACTCGAGTCTGGATCTTCGTTTCACATTTAACAATGGTGTCCAAAAGGTCTACGGTGGAAACAGCAGCCTCGCGATAGTATGTGAAGAGAGCGATCAGTGCCGTGTTCCACTTGTTGGCAATCTTGGTAAAAGTTGTAGATCCTGAAGACATGAGAATCTGCCTGATGCGATTGTTGAATTTCTGAATGTCCTCTTCAGTTACTTGTAGGAAAGCGTGCGCGGTTCTCTCCTTGGTTGTGTTATCAACTAAAGACCAAACACTATCCTTGACCGAAAATTCATCATTCTGGTTTCGGATCTTGGGCAGGATGCGGACTTCAAAGCCACACATGGAGAATAGCAGGTTCGGGTTGTCGCGACTGTAGACGCTCACAAAGCTGTCGTCCCACTCGATTGTAGTGACAGATCGAGGCAGTCGGTTCTTGAGATCCCAAAACACGGCTCGACCAAGATTGACGTCATGCCTCATCAAACGCATTCGAGAATCTCTAGGCCAGCATTTCTTGCTCTTGTACCCAATCACATTCTCAAAATTAGGATCGGGTTGCTCTGTCAGGAATCGCTGAATGAGATCTCTTGATTCTTCGGCTGTGAATCGCAAGAAAACCCAGATCTTGTCAATGTATCGAGTATACAGACGGATTGGGTGTCTCGTCTCAGTCTCGCGATCACGGAACTGCAAGAAATCGTTGGGGCTTTCTGGGGGTCCAGCAATTTCACTGGCTCTCTGAGGGCCAAGTAGCAACAGATCGAGCACCAATCCATAAAATTGGAACACAAAGGCTGAAAATTGCAGGCCACGAATCATACCATAGCTATTGACGTGATTCATGTCCTTGTATGTGAGCTGAACATTGTTCTTGGCGGTGATGTAATCAGCGAGATTGTGATCCATGATCAATCTCAATAGAGAGTTCAGAAGAGTCAATTCAATCTTCTCGTAAACCTTGGACAGCTCCGTTTCTATCATGACATTGCATTCGCCATCTGCCGATTCCCAAACCCGACCAAGGTTGTTAATGCCTTGCGCCCACTTATATGTCAAAAGTGGCGGCACCTCAGAGTCGGAAGGCTTAATCCAGGCAGGGAACAGATGTCGCTGGTCTGCTTGGTACCAAAGATATTGATCAAGATAGGCATCGCTGATTTTCTCGATGGGCTCGATATCGTACACTGGATTAATAGTACTATAGTTGTCGTTCATATCAATGCTCACCTCCTTGAAAGCTCGTTGCGTGAGGAGGAAGCGCTTGATTCGCTCAAGGGTGGTTCCAGGGCTATCGTAGGCCTGCTCGATTAAAGCCAGTTCTTCACGCTGACTCTGATTCAGGCGCCCCTTAACAGAGTATGCTTCTCGAAGGCGTTCAAGGGCCAAGATGAGGATCTTCGTGTCGTGTTTGTAAGACACACTGGGGAATGGAATAGGAGAAAACTTGCGTGACTCAAGCCAGTGCACGGTAGTAGTGTAGATTGCCACACCTTCTTCTGATGAAACGTAGGGTCCATCCTTCATGTGGTTATGCTGTCTCTCCTGCTCGGCCTTGAGCCAGAGACGAGTCAGACGACCCACGTTCTTCTTGGCGACAGTCTTGTCAACAGTGGCACCTCGTCGGATGCGCTCTCTGTTGTAGTGAGCAACTGAAATCCACCAATCGGCCTTTGACTTAACATAACGTAGAATGATATTTTCAATAGGCGCAGGCAGTCCGGGAACCTTCCAAGGAATGTTACTCTTCCAGCATCGCCATGCTTCAGATAGATGCTGAAGTACCGTGTTGACCTTGTTTTGCTTAATACCCTCGGGCATCATATCCATAAGATCGGCCATAACAGAGGCACGGAGCTCCAAATCGAAGTGCGACTCGACACGTTGCTTAGTCACAGTTTTTGCGACTCCCTTACTGTGACGGCCTTCGAATTGACGGGAGAGAAGATTTCCTAGCCAACGCTCCAAGAGGGGAATAATACCTCGCATGAAGAATAGCCAAACTCTCCATGCAGGAGCCCAGAAACCACAACCAGGACCTTTGCCAACAGGCCCAGAGTTGAAGCGGTAGTAAATCAAATGCTTCAAATCTTTGCAAGTTCGAATCTGATGCATCAGCTTGTATTTATAACGGTACATTCCCGTGAGCTGACCGACGTGGTTAAATGCATAGAGGATACCATCAGCCAGCTGAAAGGCATCAATATTTCCCAGGCGGTACTGAACTTGAGCATCGACGATCAGTTTGGTCAGACGCAGGATTTCTCGCATCAGATGGAACGCGTTTCCGAATCTCGACTTCTTACGCTCCTTGGTGGTGAGGGTCTTGACGGGCTTCAAATTGAAGTTGTAATCAAGATGGAGATAGGTCAAATTCTTGCGATGGATAAGGAGGTTGAGCATATTAAAACCTTGGCGGCAAACTTGCAGACCAGCCTCCACCCAGTCGATGGTCGTTTGCTGGAAGAACTTAGTTTGCTTCAAAGAGCGTAGAAGATTCTTATTGTTGTGCGCTTTTGGTCTCTTTTTATGGAGCTCATTCAGAACAAAATTCTTGAGGAGTTTCTGATATGACACCCGCACCTTCACAGGTGGCCGGTCCGAGGGGGGATGCTCAAGATACCACTGTTTAATTAGCGGTACGTCTTGTGCGCGAACCATGCGACCTGATCGTCGATTGAATGGGAAAGGAGCCCACCAGAGCTCAATGGCTGAGGAGGTATCTGTATTTTCTAACTCCTCGTCGGCAAGGAATGGCTCCACGCCAGCGGGAAGCTCAAATGCATCATCCTCTGGTTCTTCGTTAGACCCTGGGCCAAATAACTCGTCTTCAAGTGAAACATCGACGTTCTTCGAAGCCACCGTTCGCGAAGAAATCGGGTTGATACGCCGATCGAAGTGGAAGGTAGGCAGGTCAGGATCATCAGCCCGGTTGAAGACTATTTGGGGGTAAGAGTGCCAAGCAAGATGAACGCTTCGTGGGAGGGAATTATATAAATATGGATATGCTACCCGGAACTCTGTTCGGATCGGGTTTCGGAAAATGATGCGGTCGATGGCGTTGAACTCGCCAAAATCTTCATCATTCGGGTTGATGTCTTTGTACAAGGGCTCAAATCTCGGACCACCTGGCAGGGCGACATTTAGCGCCTTGGCGGTAAGGAATCCCTTAAGATCGAACAGGTAGAAGTAGTTTGAATCAACTACGTCGGAAATCAGGGGCCTGCTCAGTCGGAAAAGGGTGGCCATTTGAGGTAGGGAGAGATTCCATGCTTTGTAGCTCGGTCCATTGACATGCGACGTATCGAGCAAGGGGCGGTGGTCATAGAACCATTCGTGTACAGCCTCGTCTTCTTCCTCGTTGAGCTCCATCTGGATGGGTTCCAAGGGCTCGACGTCTTCCAAATTTTCGGCCCACGACAGTGGTGGCTCTTCGTCGTCGAATGGAGGAAATCGCATACGCTTGAAGAGCCTTCGATCGGCCTTTTCTTTTCGCATAAAGGTCCACATCATAGCCCACTGTGCGAAGAAAACGGGTTCGATGACTCGAGGAATTTCGTTGACGAGCGTCAAACAACCGTTGACGTGGTAAAGTACCTTAACTTCCCTTGCCGACTCCCAGGGCATAGGCATGTTTTCAAGAAGCTTTAAAACAGCGTGCGGCATGAATTTCAGGGCTCCCAGGTAACTGCGCTTATCGTTGGTGTATTTCTTCTGCGAGACGTCGCCGATATCCCTGACGATCTTTCGTAAATGCTCGGGAGGCATATCAGCTTTTTGAGTCTGGACGAATCCAGCCTTCCTCTTCTCCCCGAATCGGTTTCGACGGTCCCGAAGCCATTCCTTCTTCTTTTGCGCAAGCTTTGCGACTAGGGGATCAGTCGAAGATCGATAACCAGGCGGCGGCGGCGCGGGAGGGGCTGGCGTCGATGGAGGAGGAGGAAGAGATGATGGAGGAGGAGGGGGGGGAGGGGGAGCTCCCCATCCCGGAGGTGGTGGTGGTGGTTGCGACATGATGACCAGCAGCGCGACTGCTTGGAATCAAGTTTTGCAATCGCGAGCTGCACGATGAAGAACGTCGTCGCGTAACCAATTTAATTTCTTGCTTGGCGTTTGAACGGGACTAGCGCCGCACGTGACCCCGTTTCAACAACCAAAGTACTCATCAGCGTGAACAGCTTCTAGAGCACGCGAGCCAAGAGTTCGGACGTGAGAGCTCTACCTAGAATACAATATGGTTAGAGCGAGAAAGAAAACTGTTCCGATTTTCAGTGTTAAAAACCAGTATGAAATAGTTTATCCCGTAAAAATAAAGACGTATGCAGGCATAACAAAATCACAGGTACATGAATCAGTAGAAGTTGCTCACACGAGTTACGCGTACCTTGAGCCAGGCTATCAACCTAGCAGGGGTTTTATGAAATCCTATGCTAGAAGGAAGAGAGGCTTTGATCTTATACAGACGTCGGAAAACGAGAAGTTGCGAACTTTGCTGTTCTTATTGAGTGAGGCATAAGCAAGAGTCGTTCACGTGACGCCGCTCGCTTGTCAGTCCCCGAAGCACCAAATGGCACTCCTTTCCACGCTTCTGGGTAAATTTAGCAGACACCATGAGGAAAATGTTTATTGTTGCTCGCTGATCTCTTCATAATATATATCTTCTCGATTGTCCATAGCCGAAGGACGAGGCTGTGGACTCATTGGGAGATTTTTCTCATCGGCAGATCGGGCCAATAGGGTAGTTCCCAATTCATTATGTAAGATACATCTCAAGTGCCTCGTCCCTTCAACGCCAAGGCTTCCAACTTGAAAGCGCAACCCATTCCCAGCCCACAAGCAAGTTCAAACTCACCAGAACTCGTTCAATCAAAATGGCTGAACTCAGTAAGATTACCAATTGCAAGAATACAGGTTCCAACTGCTAACCACCATGCCACAGGCTTCCGGCCGGACCCGGCCTACCAGAAGGTGGCGGGTGCGTAACGACCATCATAACCGTCACGTTGCCGAATTCTAACATCCAGCGTAGCTATGCAGAAGAACCGCGTTCAATACTTCCGATTCACCGCCCGAACCGCTCGCATCACATTCATCTACGTCGCCGTCATTCCTGCCCTGGTGGGATACCTCGCCTACCAGACCGATGTAGGTTCATGTCCGCAGCTTCAATTGGGCCATAACTAATCGCTTCAAGGGACTGTACAATCTCAAGGCGCCGAGAAAGGGCGACACTGTCTACCGGAAGTAAATTGCGTTAAGAATGGTTGGGAAAGGGGTGTGTACATATGGCTATTTTAGCACGAAATAAAACTCCAATTTAACCAAGGACTTGCTATGACCGATTCTAATATCATTCGAGCTGCTCATCCTCCCGGAATAGAAGCGAGAAGTTGAACCAGGGCGCAAACTCGCAAATGCATGTCATGAATTACCAATTGCTTTTCTCTCTTAACCTGCCTTTAGGACCTTCTGGAAGCCTCTCACCCCTCCGCCATTCTCCAGTCGGGATGCCATGCCCGGCCCCTTCTTTCCAGCCGCCTCGTCCTCCTCGATGTCCACCACGGCTAAAACCGCCGTTTCTAGCTGAAGATTCACCTCGCCAACTTGGACGGCTGTCCCGCGCGCCAGGGATCGGTTCTCTTTTAGTGGTCGGAACCGGTGCGACTGATCCATCAGCCAGAGGAGGGAGCACTGCACACGATATGAAATCACCGACTACGAATCGAGCATCTGCTAAAGTCTTTTGATCATCAAGACTAGTATCAAAGAGTCCGGCATCATGATCTGCACCTGGCCCATGCCCTCCAAGAACAATATTGCCAAGATCTTTGACCGCATACCGCGGGGGCGAGTGGGAAATTCCGTTACTGTTACGAAGATCAGGACAGACGAGTTGGAAAGCTAATCGTGTACCAATGGCCGGGGTTGGTATGGCAGATGGTTTCAATGCGGCTAGCTCAAGAGCCAGCTGATGAAGCGTACAGTCCTGCCCCGTATAAACGGATACATGGGACGGTAGGGTATGTGACGAAAAGTCCTCTGGTCTACGAGCAATAGGTCAGCTCTGAACTCCCGCTGGGGCGCTGGGATGCCTACGTATGAAAGGACCCGGTGCGATAAAAGAGCTGTAGTAGAAATGGGGCCGGTTCGTCTCGGCCGCTTGAGACGGAAGACATGTTTAAATTATAGCTCCGATGCGACTTATTAATCAATATATCCGTTGTATCGCAATGTGTTGGGCTTAGAAGCACCTACTGCGTTAGGTAGGTCGCTGCTTATGTGGTTGCGGAAATGGCCCTGCGAACCATTCAGAGCTTCGTGCCTATGCGCCGGCGCGTCCAAATTCTCCGTGCTTTATCCGCAATCGATAAGAGATGGGAAGTAACTTGCACCCTCGTTCAAAGGTTGTCCGATTGAATCTTGACGGAACACAAGTCTATTACTCATTCGTTTATTTTCTTTATTTATTGACCTTTGTTCTATCAACACCAGCTCGACTCTTCTGCTGGAACGACCACCATGGATTTCGCGGCGTTGATGAAGAAGGAGCTTGGCAAGTCGCAGAAGCCAAGCGACAGCGGCTCGACCAAGAAGTTTATGAAGCGCTCTGAGATCGAGGCCGAGCGCAAGGCAGCCTATGCCGCCGAACAAAAGGCTCTTGAGGACGAACGCGAAGCGAAAGCGATTGCGAAGCGCAAGCGAGAGGAAGAAGTCGCGACTGAGAACGCCGCGCGAGAGGAAAAGCGCCGCAAGCTTGCGGAAGAGTCTCGAAAACGTCGCGAGGATGAGGAGTGGGCAGAGCAACAAGCGAGAAGGAAAAAGCTAGGTCTGGAGGAGCTGAAGAGAAAGACGGACGATGACGAAGAGAACAACGTGGGCGATGGAGTGGAGGATATCCCCGAAAGCGAGCTCCGAGAGAAGCTCAGAGCCATTGGAGAGCCGGTTGTCTTGTTCGGAGAGAAGCATGTAGCAAGACTACGGCGGTACAGGAAACTTACCACCGTAATTACAAAGGGCCCCATTCCCACCACTTTGGAACTCGTGGAAGAGAAGGATATGAAGCTCGATGGGACGGTACCGAAAGATAAGAAGGGGAAACAATGGGTGTTCCGCCAGCTTGCCAGTTACTTCACACTGATCCTCACGGCTTACGAACGCGCAATGGAAGAAGAAAGGAGGGATACCACTGCAAGTAAAACCGCATACAGTGCTATGGTACAAACACGAGAAAATATGATACCTGTAAGTCCCACTGTCATCTCATCCTGGTTTTTCACTACTGACAATGCATTTTCCAGCTGTTCCGTAAGTTTGAAAGCGGCAATCTTGAAGACTCACTCTTGGAACCTATCATCGAAATTGTCAAGGCGCTCCAAGAACGACGATATGTCGATGCCAATGACGGCTACTTACGCCTCAGTATTGGCAAGGCTGCCTGGCCGATTGGTGTTACTATGGTTGGTATCCACGAACGTAGCGCCCGAGAAAAACTGCACAACGGCGAGAAGGGGCATGTTATGGGCGATGAAGTCACACGAAAATATCTTCAGAGCATCAAACGCTGCCTCACCTTCGCACAGGTGAGATGGCCACCAAGCGATTTGAAGCAGCTAATGGGATAGCACACTTGTGTTTTTAATAATGTAAAATCAACGGCAGAATAAACCGTACTACGAGAAATGATGAGAATTTAGCGTTTCAGTATAAAAAAATCTCCAGCGTTTTGTAACGACCTATAATGAATACCAACTCCTGCGCCTTGCATTTCAGTCATGCTCTGAGTAACCCTGGCTCCAAAATGAAAGGCTGTCTATCCCCGTTTAGTGACACGTTAAGTGCAGGCTCCTCAATTTGGTGTCATAAGCATTCATCACTCGTCCCCAATTTGTATGGACTGTTACCCTCAATTAGCCAGTAAGAGCGGAAGTTCTCTCTCCCTCGTACCAATGTTCGTCCATCTGTCTCTTGCCTCGGCTCACTTCCAGCCCTGAAGCAATGACATTGATTCGTCGGAGGCGTTCCTTGGCCTCCTGCTCGTACTTTCTTGCGACATCGAGAGCCTTCGCTTGCATCTGCGCTCGTGGATCGGTGCTAACGGCCACAAGCAACTAAATAAATTAGGTTAGATATCGCAACTTTGCAGGACATTGAGAAGGGAAGGGACAACCTTTGATTTCGAGTCAATTCTGGCACTCAAGGCGCCGTCTCTAATCATACTCGCGAGCTCGTCTTCAATGGAGTTGCCTCCGCGGCCGAAAGCCTCATCTAAACTCTGGAGAGTTACACATGAGAATGGAATAAAGTATTGGACAATACACTTCCTTCTGATGCGGGTAAAGATTGTTGCAACATGCTTCTGCATATACAGGTCAAGCAAGCAGTCAGTCTGAAGAGCATCCAGCATTGAGAGACAGTTCGAGTAGCGGCCGTTGATGAATAGACTGATGGCCTTTCGCACATGGGGCTCATGTTCCAGAAATGTGCGGAATGTAGAGCTATCCAGAACTTTGGTCTGCAAATCGTTTCTGTCCATAGTGGCCAGGGCGAGGAGACCTCCATAGATGGCAATGTCGTTAGGAGTTACGAGACCCTGGAACGACTCTAGAGAGCCATTTGAGTTGATTTGTAGAAAGCTCGCTGCTGCTTCGTGGTATTTCCCCATGCCTAGTTGTCCAATGCCAGAGACGGCCTTGAGATATGGTTGCAGATCCTGTTCACCCTCGACAGCCTGCAAGCCGCTGATCTTACTGACATTGCTGATGACGGAGACCCAGTCACGACGCTGGAGTGCTACACTAACAAGATGCTGCGCACAATCCAGGATGTGCTTTGTCGAGCTGACATCATGCCGCATACGGCCGTAAGCTTCAGCAGCCTCCTTCAACAGGCCGATCTCCTCGAAGTGGGTGCCAATGTCTTCATTTCCCATCTGTATCGGTTAGATATTAAATTCATAGCCGTTTGTGCCCGTTATTGCCTTACCCTGATGCTTTCCTTAATAAGGTTGTTGCGATATCCTTTGAGTTCTACCTCCAGCCTGGCCGTCTCGGCCTTGTTTGCCGTCTCTGTTGACTCGATCCACGCATCGTCACGTATCGCTTCGGGTTCGTTGGGAGCAGCTATTCGAGTATACTCCCATGCTCCTCTATATCTTCCGACGTCGCGCCCATTCTTTGCTTCGACCACTGCTGCCTTCAGAGCATCCACGCACAGCGGTACAGAGCTCTCGCCAATGAGCATTAATCGATCATAACGGGTTCGGCCTAAAGCACAGATAGATAAGCATTAGCAAGAGAAATTCTGAGGATAAGGAGCTTGCGTCTACCTTGATAGTTGCTGATATATGATTCTACGTCAAACTTAGGAAGATCTGTATTCACAAGTCAGCCATGTTCGTGCAGCCAGCAGGTTCTTGATGGTGGGTGGGAAGAGTGTGTAAAGAACCTTCCACAATAATGGCGCCTTGTGATTTCATTCGGCTAAAGAAAGCCAACAGGTCGAGTTTGGCGCCCATTTCGACGAGAATCCCAAAGACGATGTTGATTTGGTTTGCAAGTTCCCGAACTACTAGGTGAGCTGCCTAGAGCTTACTTAGTTCACGCTGATGTGGGGGAATAAGGCGGCGGTTACGGAGCCGTAGTGGGTGGGGTTGACGCCTGAGGCCGTTTGAAACGGTCTCTAATACGGCCTCCGTTACGAAAATGGTGAGCCCCCGCCAACAGTGCGTATATCCCCACCTGGATCTTTTATACTGTGCAACACGAAACAGACCCCCTTTCACACCCTACCGGTGTTGGATGGCTTCGGTTTTCGGCACGGCCGTGGTCTTTCCATTCTCTGAAGTTCATCGTAAACAGAGTCGCCGTCGCAGAACGCACATACGCTAGACTCAAGGTTTACACCACATCGCGGCCTTCGATCGTCGGCTACTATGGTTATTTGAAAGAAGCTTAGATGTTGGCACACTCAATGAAGGGCCTCGAACCAGTGTGATGCCGCCCGGTCGAGGGTTGACTTGCGTTGTGCCAAGGACGGCCCCAGCTTCCGTCCCGCCTTACTGGGACCGCAGTTCAGTGGTCCAACGGAAAATGAATGTCTAGATACATGGATTGCTTGGCCTCAATAGAAAATGGCCGATGGCCGTAGGCTGCCCGTCAAGCACGGAGCTCGGCGTATGCGTATGGTCAAACTTGGTGGTCCTCAAGCGAGAGCCGACGCGTACGTACGCGCACTCAATTGCCCAGAACGCTACTGAGCGACCTGAAAAAGAAATACCCAACGGCAACCGCATTGCCGATGAGACTTGCTAGCCCCCCTCGCTCAGGTGTAGTATAGGTATGATGGTCCGTTCTGATCAAATCATGGACGTACCTTGATTGAAATTTTTTTTTACCGTCTAGCCTTGAAGTTCCTCATAATGCCAAGTTTCACGTACCTGGGATTAGGGGTACCTACCTACTCATCGTCAGCGCCCTACAGCAGCTCCATAACATTGAATAAGGTTTGAGTCGAATCGCAAACCGGAGTTTCCACAACGGAGAATGCCAAAGCCACTAAGACCATTGACATCCATCATCTAATATGTGCCTTGCAATGGATTGACATCACACGTCAATCTAGACGGGCCAAGTAGTTAGAAAAGGCATGGAGATACGGATAGGCGCTGGTGTGATAGTGGCCTGGATTTTCACATCGAGGAGATTGGTTAGAAGAAGCAGCTAAAACACCGCAAGATTCAGTCAGCTCGCAACAAAATATGTCCGTCCTTGACCAACGATCCTCCAAACCACTTTTCTCCTCCCCCTCAACGCCCCATCGTACTTGGCTGCAAGAGAGAAAGACCGATGCGACGGCGGATATGCAGAGAACTGGGACCTCCAGAATAAGCTCTCTACCATGGAGCGTTGGCATGCGATGGGCCGACCGTTCAGCATCATCATGTTACCAATTGCTTAACAGACCTCGTATGTGCAGGAAGGCCGCCAGGCCTAGATGCCGCTCATGACCCCACAACGGCACTAGGCCCTTAAGAAAATCAGTCCTCCCTACCTCCTAACGCATCAAGAGATGGAGTGGATGGGCCAGGCCACGCCCCTGGCTGGCCGAGGAGGAGGGCTGGTGCACTAACAAAAGTACGTACAGTTTTGTCAGCAGCCACCAGTCGGCGTTATGGTGT